CGCGCCCCCCTCTCTCTCTCTCTCTCTCTCTCTCTCTCTCTCTCTCTCTCTCTCTCTCTCTCTCTCTCCCATATGCTCCATCAGCCTTGTGTTGTATAGTAGTTAATGGTAGAATTGACTCTGTTCTTTTTTTAAGCAGCTTTGGATGATCTGTCATGTTTTTATGCCCCACCCGACCCTTTGTGTAACACTCTTCCAATTAAAGTTGGTTTATTCTCTAATAATCGTGAGACGGCTTGATCTTCAGTGACTGGGTGTGTGTGATGCTTTGTGTTTGTGGGGGGTTTGATGGGATGGTTGCACTCAGGGTCCAAAATTCAAGGTGCATTCAGTAGTTGTTTAGTTAGCGTTAGCATCACTGTTGTAGCAGTGATGTTAGATGCTGCAGTAGCATTCGTCAGCGTGACACATTCATGCTAGCATCTACACGTGATAATGAATCCTTTACCTGTCCAGGACAAAAGAAGCAGCTTGGGTGTCACTACTCAGGATTCTCTCTGACATTAAACTGTATGCCAGTGTCTGCCAAACCATTGTTTACACCTTTAGTCACTCTTTCTTCTGGCTTTAGGGCTTTTTTGCTTCTTTGGTCATACAGGTACTGATTCATGATAAAGCAAGATACTCGTTCCATTGTCTAATTTTCACTCTTCACATTAAACTGCTCTACAAGAGGTTTCCTCATTCGTTTAGTGAAACACTGCGGGTCATTTCAACATGAGCTTCGCTGAGGTGATTTGCACCAGGGTTAATAGGGTTTTTCCCCATTCATCTCGATGGTCTTAAGTGTCCCATTTGACCTGAATTCACCATATAATTAAAACAGTTTGTGTATGAAATGATTACGTGCAATCTTCATCTCCTGTGAGCATGCACCATTCAGATGACTAAACAAAAACACTATTTATTTCTTTATGCGTAAAACTAAAAACAATAAATAAAAAAGCACCAAACTGCTGAATGCACCTTTAATGCACGCCAAGCTCCAAATGCATGTAAAAATTGGCATTGGTCAATAAAATAAAGTGACTTTGGCTGGAAGCTGAAATATATGCATGATACAAGTGATAGTCCACTACAACAACAAAAACACAATATTACAATATTCATTTATATTCATATGCATTCTGAGTTAGATGGTTTTAGTGTTTTTCTTGCTTTAACTGGAGATTCTCAACCATTTTTATTCATTGTAAAAGTACTACTGAAGTTCTCCCGAGGCCGTTTTTATTTCAGTCAGTCGCTGTGCTGTGACTGAACAATCAGAATACGGAGAGCTGTGAAATACAACAAAAACCTTGCAAGACCTTGAGAGTGTTGTGATGTCTGAGAGCACACAAGCTGTTTTTGTGTCCTGCTGCGTGACACAGTGTACTCTTTAAGGTCATCCTGCTGTGCGGCTCCATTAAATATAGCGCAGAACAGGAGATTTCTGTCTCTTTATGGTATTTGCTCATTACTCTTGATAAAGTTGAAGCCTTAAGTGTGACGATGTGTCCTCAGACATCTTTGACATTCATGTCGTCAGCCATTTCTGATGTAGTTGAGTAGGATACTGTAAAGAACATGATTTTGCATTCATAAGAGTTGGAACAGTAAAGGAAGAGGCTCAACATAACTGGTAATAATAGTCATTACAAACACTACACACATGGGCAATTCACAGGCTTTACCAGTGACAGCCAACTACATGGAAACTTTTCTTTTTAAATAATATGCATGTGTGTCTCATGACTTCCAGTCTGTTGTGCATGGAGAGGTGCGTCTAAATCTAGCTTGATGGGGTCACTTGCACGCTTCCCGTTCGTCTGATGGCTCAGGTGATCTGGACTGACTCTTCACTGGTGTTCTGTGTGTTTCATGCTCGTCTTGTCCGCTCTGTGCTGTGTCTGCAGCGCGGCCCGTAACACAGATGATGGGCTGTTTGCCAAGGGTCTGGTGTCACGGCCAGCTCTTCCTCTGCTGAAAGATAGAAGGGAGTCTGATGAACACCAGCACGTAGACTCTCTTATCATCTTCTGGAGTCTCTGACACACTTTCATCTGCATGCAAAAAGACCTCCGTGACAGACCAGAGAAACTCTCAGCTTCACATCTGCACTACGGTGTGTCAGTTTTACTGAAATGAAAATCATACCGTCATTTACTCACACTCATGTTGTTTCAGACCTGTATGAATTTCTTTCTTCTGGTGAACACAAAACGTGTTTTGATGAAAGCGTGTAAGCAAACAGTTGCTGGTATAGCCATGACTACCATAGTATGAAAAAACACTGGACGTCAATGGCTGCGGTCAGCTCTTTGGTTACACACATTCATCAAAACATCATCTTTTGTGCTCAGCAGAAGAAACAAACTCATACAGGTCTGAAACAACATGAGAGTGAGTAAATGACGATATGATTTTCATTTTTGGGTTTTAACCTTTGCAAACTAAACTCTGAACCTAATGGTAAATTGGCTGTTTGGGGAAATCACTGCTAGTTCCTCTGTAGTTACATGAGCTTTATGTTTCAAACATACTAACATTGTTTCTCAGTCTGAAAGCTCAGTTGACTCTCATTAGCATCTAATCAAACAGCATCTTTAATTAATTGTCATTCAAACACAAAGGATATTTGATGGATCTGTATGTTCTAACTGTATTATTCACAAAATGTGCATTGCTCATTCACAGGAATGCTGCTTTCATTCTTCATTTCCTGTTCCAAGGGAAAATAAATTATTAAGGTAGAGAAATGAAAAACATCTATTTTTCTCTTATCTCTCTTATCTATTCTCTTATTCTCTAATCTAGGAGAAAACAGACAAATAGTACAAAGGTTGTGTGTGTGTGTGTGTGTATGTGAGAGAGAGAGAGAAAGTGTGTGTGTGTGTGTGTGTGTGTGTGTGTGTGTGTGTGTGTGTGAGAGAGCGTGTGTGTGCGTGTGTGTGTGTGTGAGCGTGTGTGTGTGAGCGTGTGTGAGCATGTGC